TGGAAGGATTTCAAGAATTACCTTAAGCATAAGCGAAAGGAAATGAACTTGAAGCAATTGATCCTCCGTCTGCGGATTGAAGAGGATAACCGGAAGAACGATGGGAAACTCCCAAAATTGGAGGCGTTTCTTGCCTAGAAGCGTCGCACGCTTTCGTAAAAAATAAAAAATTAAATATATTCACTTAACAGAGGCGCTTATTCTAAAAAGCGCCTCAAACGAAGCGCCTCTGTTTGACGTTTTTCCACTAGTGCAAGGCCAACGTGGTGGAGCATGCTAAAGGCTCCAAAAATAAAAATAATGGGAAGAGCAAGCTCGGTCCCAAGGGAGGCGTTTCCAAAACGAAATTCAATGAAAATGCTTCAATTGCAACAAGAACGGACACAAGTCCGCGGATTGCAAGGCACCCAAGAAGAAGAGGGACTCTCAAGTCAACTTGGTGCAAGGTGGGCAAAAGGATGAAGACATCATCCTTGTGGCTGTGGTGACCGAGGTCAACCTCGTTGGATCCAATTCCAAGGAGTGGTTCGTGGACACCGGTGCAACCCGACACATTTGCTCAAACCGGGAGTTATTCACTACTTTTGAGCCATCAAATGGTGAGAAGGTGTGGATGGGAAACTCGGCTCATTCCGCGGTTGAAGGCGTGGGCAAGGTGGTCCTGAAGACGACTTCGGGCAAGGAGCTGACTCTAAACCAAGTGTTGTTCATTCCGGAGATACGCAAAAACCTGATTTCCGGTTCATTGTTGAACAAGCATGGCTTCCGCATGGTTTTTGAGTCGGACAAATTAGTTTTGTCTAAATCGGGAATGTATGTGGACAAGGAATATGCAGTTGATGGGCTGTTTAAGCTCAATGTAATGACTATTAATAATAATAATAATAATAAAATACCTTCTGCTTACTTGCTTGAGTCTTCTAATGTGTGGCATGGTAGACTAGGACATGTTAATTTTAATTCTATAAGTAGATTAATTAACATGGAACACATTCCTAAATTCACAATTGATGTGAAGCACAAATGTGAAGTTTGTGTAGAGGCAAAACTAACGAAAACGTCTTTCGAATCGGTTGAAAGAAAAACGGAACCACTTGAATTAATTCATAGTGACGTTTGTGATTTTAAATCAATACAAACACGTGGCGGTAATAAATATTTTATTACTTTTATCGATGATAGCACTCGCTATAGCTACGTTTATTTATTAAAAAATAAACAAAAAGCAATCGATAAATTCATTCTTTATAAGAATGAAGTGGAAAACCAACTTAATCGACATATTAAAGCGGTTAGAAGTGATCGAGGTGGTGAGTATGAAACACCAATTGGTGACTTTTGCGCGAGCGTGGGTATAGTACATGAACGTACCGCACCCTATTCACCTCAATCAAACGGTGTAGCCGAACGAAAGAATCGCACATTGAAAGATATGATGAATGCGATGCTAGTAAGTTCGGGCCTGCCACAAAATATGTGGGGCGAAGCAGTCTTGTCAAGCAATTACCTTTTAAATAAGGTTCCCCGGAAAAAATATGATAAAACTCCGTGCGAGTTGTGGAAAGGCAGACGACCTTCGTATCAATATTTAAAAGTGTGGGGGTGTTTGGCAAAGGTGCTTGTACCAACACCTATGAAAATAAAAATAGGTCCAAAAATGGTGGACAATATTTTTATTGGATATGCACAAAATAGTAGTGTTTATCGGTTTTTAGTGTACGATTCGAATAATCCGAATGTACATAAAAACACAATTATTGAATCAATGAATGCTTCATTCTTTGAAAACGTATTTCCATGCAAGTCCAACGAAGGACCAAGCACGTCAAAACGAACATTTGACGTAGCTATGGAAAATACTAGCGAGGGGTCCGGAGAAGAACCCGAACCCAGACATAGCAAACGTGCTAGAATTGAAAAATACTTCGGACCGGATTTTCTCACCTACTTGGTAGAATTTGACTCGGATATTCTAACATGTATGGTAGAAAATGAACTGGATTTTCTAACATGTTTGGTAGAAAATGAACCACGGACTTATACGGAAGCCGTGACGTCTACCGAAGGTCCTATGTGGCTAGAAGCCATCAAAAGTGAGGTGGATTCTATCCTTAAAAATCACACATGGGAATTGGTTGATCTTCCTCCGGGAAATAAACCTTTGGGATCCAAGTGGATTTTTAAACAAAGAATGAAACCTGATGGTTCCATCGATAAGTACAAGGCCAGACTTGTAATCAAAGGATACAAGCAACGTGAGGGTCATGATTACTTTGACACGTATTCTCCTGTGACGAGAATAAATTCCATTAGGATGATACTAGCAATTGCCGCATTGCGGAAATTGGAAGTTCATCAAATGGACGTAAAAACCGCTTTTCTAAATGGCGATATAGACGAAGAAATCTATATGGAACAGTCCGAAGACTTTCGTGTTCCAGGCCAAGAAAGGAAAGTGTGTAAATTAATTAAATCATTGTACGGATTGAAACAAGCCCCTAAACAGTGGCACGAAAAGTTCGACCATGCAATGTTAATTAACGGGTTTAAAATAAACGAAAGTGACAAATGCGTCTATGTGAAGAGCACGGTAGACGGCTATGTCATTTTATGTTTATACGTGGATGATATACTCATCGTGGGTAGCAATAATCTAATGATTAATTCTACCAAAAGCATGTTAAATTCTAAATTTGACATGAAGGATATGGGGCTGGCCGATTTAATCCTTGGGATTAAAATAATTAGGGGACCAGACGGTCTTACGCTAAGCCAATCCCATTACGTTGATAAAATCCTTACGAAATTTAATAAGGATGATTATCAAGAGGCAAGGACTCCATTAGATAAAAACGTACAACTTACCAAAAATCGTGGAGGGTGTATTTCTCAAGTAGAATACGCTAGGATTATTGGAAGCTTGATGTATCTAATGAGTTGTACCAGGCCTGATATTGCCTTTGTGGTTAGTAAGCTAAGTAGATATACTAGCAACCCTGGCGATGGACACTGGAAGGCAATAGTAAGGGTTTTGAGGTATTTACGTAAAACCCAAAACATTGGACTGCACTATGGAAGATATCCAGCTGTACTTGAAGGGTATATCGACGCTAGTTGGATATCCGACATAAAGGACTCTAAGTCCACAAGTTGATATGTTTTCACTTTGGGAGGTGCAGCCGTGTCATGGAAATCCTCAAAACAAACGTTGATAGCTAGATCCACGATGGAGTCTGAGCTAATAACCTTGGATAAGTGCACTGAAGACGCTGAATGGTTACGCCATTTTCTCGAGGATATTCCAAGTTGGGAAAAGCCTGTCCCTCCAATATTCATACATTGCGATTGTCAAGCGGCAATTGGAAGGGTACAGAGCAATATGTACAATGGTAAGTCTAGACACGTTCGTCGTAGACATAACACCATTAAACAACTCCTCACAACGGGTGTTATCACTGTTGATTACGTGAAGTCAAAGGATAACATAGTGGATCCGCTAACCAAGGCATTGGATAGAGAATTGTTGGAGAAGTTGTCACGAGGAATGGGACTAAAGCCCGTGAATTGAAAAGTCTCGAAAATCAATTTTCATTCATGTGGGGGATTGTTGGAAAAATGTGTTAGAAATTGCATTAAATGGTCATTTTGGGGCAATTATTTGAGTGGGGTCCACTTCCGATCTGGGTCGGGTCAAAGTGGTTTCGGATTGTCCTTGTTAAGGGCTACAATTCGATATATGGTACGCTCAAAACGGATAACGGGTGAATGAGAAATTGATTCTCGAAGTTCACTCGTTGAAATGGAAAAACTGAGAAAATGATGAGTTTCTAGTGTGTTTTATCCCACATCGGAAAACTCAAGGGATTTTCACCCCCTTATAAAGGGAAGCCTCTTTTAAGGAGTTAAGATTCCTAAAGGTAAAGGCTATCTCTTACGCGCAGGGGGGGTGCCGATCAAATCCCAAAACGGAGAAGAAAAACCGCGACTCGTGTGCGCGGGCGACCTGCGGACACGAACGCTGTCCGAAAAATTTATCATTCAAAGATACGGTCTAATTTTTGTTTCTTCACGTAACGTTTTGTTTTTCCCAGTGCCAGAAGGGGTCCGGGACAAAGATGCTCCGTTTCTGTCTGGAACAGAAGTGCTCGAGGTCTTCTGTTCGCAAAATTTATCATTCAAAGATACGGTCTAATTTTTGTTTCTTCCCGTAACGTTTTGTTTTTCCCAGTGCCAAAAGGGGTCCGGGACAGAGATGCTCCGTTTCTGTCTGGAACAGAAGTGCTCGAGTTCTGTTCGCAACAGAGACGCTCGAGGTCTTCTGTTCGCAACAGAGACGCTCGAGGTCTTCTGTTCGCAACAGAGACTCTCGAGGTCTTCTGTTCGCAACAGAAGGTCTTCTGGTCCGTTACAACAATAAATGCCCAACGTTTTTGTCTTTCAATGCTGCGTTAAATGAACAGTTTATGGACGATTCAATGCCCAACGGATTGGTCATTGATGTCCAACATTCAGGTCCATTAACACCCCATTTAACACACAACAAATCCTCCTATAAATAGCTGGCAGGTGCTTTGCCACAAGACACAACACACAATACATTCCTCACGTTTTCTTGAGCTAAAAACACTTCCAGCTATTCCGAAATTTCCTAAGTGTTCTTACTGTGTTCCAGTTCGCCGGAACTTTCGTTTGTGTGCTCAAACGATCGTTCGTTAGTCACCGTATCCTGGGAAACGGTCGTTGCAACGCTCCTAGCACCGTGGGAGGCGACGAATACGTTTTAAGAACATTGTGCGTAGCACGAGCTCTGGCTAAAATCTGCTCCATCTTATTTTCTGTTTTCTTTTTGCTATTTTATTTATTAATTAATTTTATTTAATTAATATTTTTTCGTTTTTCCGAAACACACTAACAATCTTTTCTTGGTATCTTTATTTCCCGTAAATCATCTCTCCTCTCCCATCAGTTGTCACTTCTCCCACCTTCTCCTTTCTTCTCCATATCTCTCTCTCTCTTCCGTCCATCTCCACATTTTTTCTCTTTCTCTCTTATCTCCATGTCTTTCCTTCTCCATGTTTTTCCTTCTACCTTTTTCATTATGTGCTTTTCTTTCCAATTCAACAAGAAGGCTTAAACTTTTCGCCGGTAAATTAATTTCATAAGCAGACGAAAAAAATAAACTCGATCTCCTATTAATTCTTCATTGATTTCTCTCTGAGCGTCAGATTCCAATGTAAGGTATGTGTTTTCTTTTTATCTTTCTCTTTCTCCTCCTCGTTCTCTTATTCCTCCTCCTTCAAGCTTTTGTTGAAATGTATTCCACTTATGTGTGGCCTTAGGACCATTTTACAATAATTATTTAATTATTACTATCGTTGTAGTAATTATACCAACATGACGTTAGAAATTCCATAGTTTACCTAAACATTACTTGATGGGAGTAATTGTCATTATTAAAGGGAACAATTGATTTTTCGTTAGATGTCTTTTAATTAATTAATTAATTAAATGATTAATTTATTATTTAATTAATTATGAATAGACATATCTATTCATTGTGTCTAAATAGAAAGATACGATGATTAGTCGTGTCTCTTATCAGAATTCCCAGGGGCTATAAAATAACACCTTCTACTTCCCTGGGAGTTTAACGATACATTCCACCATCATAACCAAGGCATCATAACGGGAATCAAATGGCTTCTTCATCCTCAATCAAGTCAGACTTTCCTCCAAGTAAGAAAATCTATTTTTACACTTGATATATTTCTTGTGTTTGATTTGGTTAGAGATGATCCTTACAAATTTGATCTGTTAATTAATTCCAACATTTGGTATCAGAGCCCTTCTCTTAATCGATTCAAACCATTTTAAATTAAGAACCGTAATTCCGGTTTCTGAAAATCTCTTCATAATTGGCGATCGAAAGATGAACGAACGGGCTGAAGTTGTTGTTGTGCCCCGTTAATATTTTCATCGTTTATCTTTTGAAATCATTCGTCTCCACGTTGCCTTACTTTCGTTTCTGTTGGCCTAACCAATTTTTGCTAATAATAAGAAAGAATCTAGTGCGTAGGAGTCGGTGAATGGCTTCGTTATTTTTGTTTGTTTGTTGTGATATATTATTATCATTATTACCTTTTGTTTGATCATTTAAAATATTAACAAGTTAAATTTAGTGGAGATTTTATCCATTTATGGTTAAACTTTTTCCAGTGGACTTGATTGACATCACATATGATTATAATGTATAATTTGATTCACTAGAGACATCACTGGATTTAATTTTTCCATTAAAATATAATGACTGAATGCACTCACGTTTGATTCCTATGCTTAATTTCATTTTATTTGGGTCTAATATTAACGAAACCTATGTGAAAAATTACATGAGAACTTTAATTCTAAAATGAAGGATTTACTGAGTGTGAAAAAGCTTAATAAATATTTGTACATACATTACCGTAACAAAATTTTAAATGTAAGTAATTATCCCAACGGAAAATTACTTATATCACGTATCTTATAAGTAATGATACTTCTTATAAGTAATGATGCTTGATGACTTAATGACTTGATGCTTATATCATATTTAGGTAATTATCCCAACGGAAATTATTAAATATTTTATAAGTCGAAATAAGTTATCATGATATTTTGAGGTATGTGTAGCAAAATGACAAACCCAAAGGCGAGTCATTAAGTTACACATATTATAAAATTATTTTCAAACCTAATTAACATGATTGTTGTAATTTTCACCCAAAGGTGACTTACGATAATCATATGGCGTTTTTTTTTATTAAAATGTTCGAAGCACTTGAGTATTGGATATGGTCAACGCAAATCCAACACTCAAGTAGGACCTTAGTTTAGTCTATTATTTTTGGTGTTAGTAATAGACTTAATCTTCAATATGTTATTTTGCTTACTTTATGTGATTGCCCTATATGTTTCAATTCACTTATGTTCTTCTAAAATTTATATGTTCTAATTGTGATAATCCAGCATCCACTTTAAGTCCTAATTATGGGATTGAACCTCTAACCGGCACTAATTTCGCGTCATGGCGAGATGCCGTTAAATTAACTCTTGGAATGATGGATTTAGACTATGCTTTGAGGCATGATCCTCCCGCTGCACTCACTGACCAAAGTTCACAAGAACAAAAACGAGTGTATGAACAGTGGGAGAGGTCAAATAGAATGTCTCTCATGGTTATAAAGAATTCCATCTCGGTTGCTATTCGCGGAGCCATACCGGATTCAGAAAATGCAAAATCATACTTGGACTCCGTTGAAGAACAATTTAAAGGCACCTCCAAGGCATATGCGAGTACTTTGATTCTGAAGATGTTGACTACAAAGTACGATGGTGTGAGTGGTGTGCGTGAGCACATCATGATGATGAGTGACATGTCCCACAAGCTTAAGGGCATGGACATGGAAATTAGTGAGGGTTTTTTAGTGCACTTCATTATGACCTCTCTACCGACACAATTTGGTCCTTTTAAAATAAACTACAACACTCAAAAGGAAAAATGGCAAATGAGTGAACTCATTGCCATGTGCGTACAAGAGGAGGAGCGCTTAAAGATTGAAAACCCCCGATGTTGCTCATCTCACAACCACAAACACCAGGAAAAAGAAAGGCAAATTTAATACTGGAGAAAGTTCAAAGGTTCAGAAAACAAATGCAAATGCAACTCCTGGCTCAACCGCTCCTAAGGGCCTGTTTCGTTGTAAATTCTGTCATAAGAAAGGACATGGCCAATGAGATTGTCCAAAATTCAAGGAGTGGCTAGCAAAGAAAGGTAATCATCTATTTATGATTTATGAGTCCTTTAATATTAATGTTCCCACAAACACATGGTGGGTTGATTCTGGTTCTATGGTACATGTTACAAACTCATTACAGGGATTCCATTCAATCCGGAGGCTGGAAAGAAACCAAAGAACCATTAAAGTTGGCAATGGTGATGATCTAAATGTTGAAATCGTAGGTACTTTGCAATTAGTTATGCAAGGTGGCTATTGTATTAACTTATATGATACTCTTTATGAACCGAGGATGACTCGGAATCTAGTATCTGTTCATAAGTTAGATAATGATGGATATTATGTAACATTTGGTATTAATAAAGTCACTATTACTTTAAATTCCGACATTATTGGTTATGGTTATTTGGATGGAAAACTTTATAAGTTAGACCTAGATGACCAATTCTCAAAATCATTGTTGTCATATAATGTAAGTGAAAATTTACATAAAAGAAAACGAGATATGGAAACCTCATCTATGTTATAGCATCAATGTTTAGGCCATATATCGCGAGACCGAATGTTGAGACTCGTGAAAGATGGAGTTTTACCAACTCTCGATTTCAATGATTTTGAGACATGTGTGAAATGCCTTAAAGGCAAAATGGCAAGAGGAAATAAAAGAGGCGCCACAAGGAGTTCTAATTTATTAGAACTTATAAGTCATTTATCACTTTCATAGATGATCACTCACGTTATATGTATTTGTATTTAATTAAAGAGAAATCTGAATCACTTGACACATTAAAATCCTTTAAGGCCGAGGTTGAAAATCAACTCGACCGTAAGATAAAAGTAGTGAGATCAGATAGAGGGGGTGAGTATTATGGTAGACATACTGATATTGGTCAAGCTCCTGGTTCCTTCTTTGAGTTTTGTAAAGAACATGGGATCGTGAACCAATTTACCATGCCGGGTACTTGACGAGCACTTTGTCACGGTGCGTCAAAATAAATTCAATACTAAACACTTATACGTAGTATAGGTGAAGTAGAGTTCGTATCCACAGGGAAAGGAATAATTCTCTTTTTATGAAACTAGTAATTAAAAGGGGGGTTTTGGTTTTGAGTGATTTGCTTTAATTAAGAACTAAGATGAACAACCTATATGTGTTTAATTCAAAGATAAAAAGGACTTGGCATTGCTACTTTCCACTTGTTGATATATTTTAGTCGATCATTGTTATATCTATAACTTATTCCCTCTCGAATACTCAATCGGGGAGTATATCCACTTCATCGAGGGTAGTTATTAACAACGACCGTTCATTAATAACCCTTACTATTAATCAAATATAGAACAACGCCTTATACCGATTTAATAGTAGCATTTAATCTTTCTAACTCCTTGATGAAATCAATTGAGATTGATAACCTCAACACAAGCGGTTTCTGTTTAACCAACAAAATTAATCCCTCTTAAGTTTATTAACCACGACCGTGCATTAATAAACCGAAGTTACTTACTTGTGAAACCATCAATGATTAACCATCGGTTCGTTGATCGTTTCTAGTAATAATTAATATATGAAACAAGACTAGTTGATCCTTTAAGTAATGTTCAAAATATTAATATGAAATAAGAGTAGGGATTAATTAATATTCAAGGAAGAATATTATTAAAGAAGATGAATCCTACTATAATTAATATCAAGATGTTAACTAATTGTCATCTTAGCAACACTCCCCAACATTAATATAGAGGAAGAAAATACCATTCTAACTAATGTCGAGATGTTAACTAATTGTCATCTTAGCAACACTCCCCAACATTAATATAGAGATGGTATTAAGGAAAGAACTATTAATTAATATTCAAGGAAAGCAGTTAAGAAAATAACTAACAACTTTAATAATCAACAAACTTCAAGAGCAACACCAAGAATGGAAGTTTAGCTCCTCATTTGGAGACTAAACATAGCTAGAAAAATATAAAGAAATGTTATTCTAAACTGAGCTAAAGAGTATGGAAGAAGGGATGATTTTTTTTGTGAAGAAAAGTGTGCTATTTATAGGTGTTTTTCAACACCTTTGGCCGGGTACCCGACCGGGTCAAGTACTCACCCGACCGGGTCCATGTCACAATCAAATATCCTCCATGTTCTGGCGATCTTTGGCATGTTAAAGTGTCCGGGTCAAGTCAGACCCGACCGGGTGGGATAGGGGGCCTGACCGGGTGAGTGCAAAAATTGGATATTCTTCACGTTCGGGTGATCTTTGCACACCGGGTTGTCCCCGGTCACTTCTCACCCGACCGGGTGAGGTAGTGGGCCCGACCGGGCCATGCATTTTCTTTGCATTTTCGTTTTTCACTTCTTACCCGACCGGGTCAAGTGTTATACCCGGTCGGGTATTTGCTCCTGGGCAGCCAAATCTTCTTTTTCTTCACTTCAAAGTCTTCCTTTCCAACACCACAAATCCTAACTAAACTTTACAACTGACAAATAAAGACTAAAATACAATTACAACTGAAATCACATAAATGTTTACAAACTAAATAAAACGTCAAACAATTAACATAAATCAAACATAAAAACATGTACTTATGCACTACTAATTAGTGTGCATCAAACACCCCCACACTTAAACCTTTTCTCGTCTCGAGTAAATCAAATCAAATCCAAGAAGTCCTAAATGACAAGAATATCAATACAAAACATCCAAGAGTGTTTTTACCACAATACAAAGCATCCCCAATAATAATTAAAGTAAATTGGGGTCTTCAACCTCATCTTTATCTCCATTTCTCTTTTGAACTTATCACCTTCAGGATCCTGCAAAATAGACATTCCTCTCATTCTCTCGTTTTGCCTAGGTGCCCTTTCAGGTTTTCATCCCAGCTTCCCACATTTTTTTTTATTTCTCACAACCTCACTCTTTATTTTATTGCTTTAATTTTTGCTTGAGTTGCCCTTTGTGGGTTTTCAACTCAACAAGCTCTCTTTTTTTTTTTAGAAAATAAAATAAAACAAGTAGGATTGTGAGCATACCAGAAGAATCTCTGCACCCCCACACTTAGGATCTGACACTGTCCCTAGTGTCCGCCTAGACCTCCACCTTGGTGTCCGTCCTCATCCATGTGATCCCTGCCATAACCACCATCGTAGCCTCCGCCACCGGAGCTCGATCCTCCAAAGAAACCCCACTGAGAGGGGTCATACCATGATGGTGCAAAAGGTGGAGTGGTCATAGAGGAAAAGGAGCCCTGGTGTGCTACATAGGAGTATATCGGACCAAAGGTTCGTCGTTGATCCTCTTCATATCTCCGCCAGTCTTCCTGCCGTTGTTCTTCCAACCTCTCAAAGCTATGCCTCTGTTCAGTTCTATACTGATCAACTCGCTCTTGAAGCTAGATGTAGTTGTTGTTGATCATGTTCATGTTATTGAGCATTTGTTGCTCGAATGGTGAGTATTGGTAGGCTGGGGCATCAGGTTGTTGTTGTGGTTGGTTAGGTATCAAGGGTGGGTTTTCTTCAGCATGTTCTTGATCCTGTTCATCCTGTGCATAGTGTGCCGGGATTGCCCCGGGGAGACAGTAGTGATGACCATCACCGATTTCATGGCCCACGATATCTAGGGGGATGTCAGGTGACGGGATATGGATAGTTATGTTTTGACGTGGGATGATAAACCAGTTGTAGATTGGTGTCCCGGTAGGTGTCATGTGAGATAGAGCCAAATCTTTGGTCTTTTGCACAAGCCATGACGTGCAAATGAGCTGTTTCGGGGTAATGGGGCCTAGGTCTACAAAACCATATAAAGTGGCTAGATGTGTGATTAGGCCCCCGATCACAATTTTTCCGGATGACGTTGCCACATTTTTGAAATGGGTCCATAAGATAGAGGCAACGTCAACTGGTTCTGGTCCAGGTAGAACAGCTTGTGCCAGAACGCACACATCCCACATTCTTGTGTGGTGATTGTTCGGTCTTCCGAGGAAACAATTTGAACAGAATTTTAGAAAAATACGGAAGACCGGGTGTTGAACACAGTTCACACTCAACTTAGAGAGGTCCACCACACCTTGTCCTGCCATTCTTTTCCATAACTCGTACCCCACAAGCGTATCATAAGCACGAGCTTCATCAAACAGAGGGAGGCCAAAATGATGTGCAAATTCTCTTTTGGTCAATGAACGATTTTCATTGAGTAAACGAAAGGTGATGGTGTCATTTGCATGATCATCATCATCCTTTGTATACACATATGAACTAAAGAATTCATAAACCAAATGAGGATAAGTCACATATTGCATTTCTAGCAACCTAGTCATTCCAATTCTTGCAAATATATCACGCATGATCACATCAATCCAAAGGAGGGCTAGAGTAGTAATGCACATGAATCGGGATTGTTTTACCTCCCTTTGTGCTTGTCCCTCGAATAGTCGCTTTTGTGCCTCCGTCGCAAATTCCACGCTTTCATAGCCCGCTACTGGTGGGATTGCCCTTGAAGAAGAAGCTTTGGATTTTTTTGGAGCCATTGGAATTGAATTTTTTTTAAGGGGATTTTCGGACTTTGGGGTAGGGTGGGATTTGGATGGCTTTTATGGGTATGGGGTTGAAGAGGATGGTGAGGAGAGTAAGAATATGGTATTGGTTGAGGATTTTTGGGAAGATTTCAGACCTTGAATGTCCAAGAATGGGGATTTTCGAATTTTGGGTAGGGTTTTTGGGTTTGGTGGATTGGGAAGGTTTTGGGAGATTTTATGGGTATAGAGATGGAGAGGGAAGTGAGGAGATGAAGAAAATGGGGTTTTTTAGTGGATTTGGTTAAGGAAATGGGGAGATTCGAAGGTTTGGGTGTTTGAAAATGGTGGAATTTGGGTGTTTTGGGTGTTGGGAGGAAGAAGAAGTGGGAGGGGAGGGGGTGAGACCGACCTGGTATAGCTGGTTTTCCCGTTCACCCGGTCGGGTGGGGTAGTTTACCCGGTCGGGTGTACGCTATTTGCCCAGGCAGAATGTTTTGTGTTTGGTAGCCCGGCCGGGTAAAGTGGTCTACCCGGTCGGGTATAACCTGTTCACCCGAGGCAGAATGGTTTAGCTGGGTTGCCCGGCCGGGTGCAAACGTCTACCCGGTCGGGCGCAAAATCAATTTTTGTTTTTCTCTCGCCTCGCCCGGGTGGTTGCCCGGGTGTTTAGTTTTTAGAAGTACCCGACCGGGTTAAGGTTTATACCCGGCCAGGTCAAATCCCAGTTTTTTTTTATTTATTTATTTTTTTTAAAAAAAACACACACTATTAAAAAAAATGAAGAAATTGGGTTGCCTCCCAAGAAGCGCTTGATTTAATGTCGCGGCATGACGTTATATATTTTTTTTTATGTGGGATCGTGAACATCCCTTGTTT